GCTGATGCAATTGTGACATAACATCGGAGAATTTCTTATTTTTGTTTGTGGTGGTTGTTATACGAGGGGTGTCGGCCTCTTTGGATATGGCTTCAACGATTGATGCATCAGTCTGTCCATCATCAGGCTGAGTTTCATCCTCAATGACATTCATTTCTGTCGAGGTAATAAGAGACAAACGATATACCGAATTTCGTAAATATGCTAAATACATTATTCAAGTGAAAGCATTGCAGTCAAATTAAATCTAACTCGGTTATATAATTTATCCTTAGTATGTAAATTATAGCTTGTGATATATTTTTAGACGATTATATTACACGACAGTTGTTAAATTTAAAACGAAAGCGGAGACAAACTGTCTTCAACAGATGATTGTATATACATATTTAATTAAAGCCTATGTAATACAAAAATGGATTTTCTTGAATAAAATATGTTATTCAGAGTAATAACTAATGAGTAAGTATTAATTATCAAGTGAATAAGTGTGGTTAGCTATCACTTTTTGATATTGATGCATTCAAGGCATTTATACTTTTCTTTTATTGCATTCTCAATAGACACAGTATAGAATATCTTTTAAAACTAATTATGTTTTATTGTAAACTAGAAAGAATGTACAGTTTAATACTCGCTGTTTTCTAATCAGACAGGTTCGTCACCAAGTATTGCGCCCGATGCATGGTTAAATCAACAGACACAATATAGAGTATATTTTAGAACTAATTGTGTTTTATTGTAAACTAGAAAGGGTGTACAGTTTAATACTCGCTGTTTTCTAATCAGACAGGTTCGTCACCAAGTATTGCGCCCGATGCATGATTAATTCAACATACTCAGTATATAGTATCTTTTAGAACTAATTGTGTTTTATTGTAAACTAAAAATGATGTACGGTTTAATACTCACTGTTTTCTAATCTGACAGGTTCGTCACCAAGTATTGTGCCGGTTGCATGGTTAAATATGCTAATTTAGTATACTTCAGTAATAAAGCTGGGAAACTAGTTATGTGGCATTGTTCTTAGTGTATGACAATAAGTGCCAATTCACCTTATGTATTTTAGCACTTTGTTACGTCTGGTCACACGTTACTAATACTGAATATCTGTTATGCTATTCTCTGTCACATTTAGCAATTACTTCAAGCAGAGTGCATGTTCGTCGACGGACTGCTTCAACCCTATAGCTAAAGAACTGCGAGGTGCCTGAACGTAGTTTGCTACGTTACTGTCACGATGGCCAAAAATATTTCTTGGAACTGACCTTTTTCAGGAAAAAAATGTGTTCATACATATGTGTATGTATATCAAATTCTCATGTCTTCGATTTGTATTTGTATGACAGCATATTGAAATTGATTAACTATTTTAACAAGTAATCATTCTGAATAATTATAATATTATTAGCACAGAGTTTGTACAATATGATTGTGTTAGTGTATTGGGCCACAACCGAGTGCAATTTATATAGTAATCAATGTGGTTTGTTGATGTTTCTGAAGACACTGTTAAAATAACCGAATTGGAGTTCGTTGTAGTAAAACCCAGCCGTTGTCTGGTGTAAAGGTAATATATCCATGAAATGTTCTGAATGCTTGGCTTCAGTTTGTAACACCCCTGATTCTGTGGGTTAATGTTGGCGCCCATCATATTTGTATTTATAGTCTAGTCGCATACAGTTGGAGAGTTAATAGTCACGAGTTCTTGGTATATATTGTATTTGGCCAATATTGAAGGTAAAAAAATTCATTGTAAATAATGTTCATATACCAGACTGGATAACTTTGGTGTTTACAGTAAATATTTGTGTATGCCTGGCATACAGTATATAAATAACTTTATAGTTTGATAGTGATGTCATGTTTGTTTATCGATCCTTGTCATTTCCTGGCGTTCGGGGTAACATGCATTGCTTCCAAAAACGTGTCATGATGAGCAATGTTTTTATTCGTTGGTGTAATAAACTGCATTTTGATTAACAGTACGATAATGTATTTGTATTGCAAGTGTTATTGAACCATCTCAAACATGTTTTGCAATTAAACTGTAAAATTATATTATACATAATGCTGTGCATGACTTTTTTATATGCTGATTTGGATTTTTGTGTGTCAACAACCCTTTTCTGTATTGATTGAAAACTAATATGGTGCAGTCCTCCTAAATAAATTTAATATCCATCTATATATTGCCGTAAGGCGATTGAGCACAAACTGAGCACAGAAATGTCTAGGCAAAAATGCCAGAGATACTAGCTCGTCGCTAGTCAATTTCAATATGATTGATTGTGACTCCCGGTGAATGGTTAAACAATTGATTGGTGGACGGACATGTCTAGATTAGTAGGTACATATAATGGGGTTAGTGTCATTTGCCTACAAAGGTCAAGTAATGTCGTATTACCATCATTTCCGGCCGTTGTCAAGCAATATTGTTAAATGTGCACTCGAGAACCCAAAGGTGTTCCCAATACATAGGCCGGTAAGAAATAATAGTTGAATACTTAATACACAATTAAGCCACCATACGACTTAAATTTGTAACCATTGAGAGACGCATAACGATGAATTACAAAGATAGCTCGAAGTGTCTCTTGATTTGTTTGAACCAATTTCATAATTACCCAAAAAAAGTAGCCACGTATTGTGTGGGAGGTGATTGAGTGACGTGGTATTTGAAAGAGATCAACGCAACCTTTGACCTCCTAACAATTATCAGCTTCATTTTCCTGTATTTACGTGATAGAACCAGAGTTATATCAGTAGTCTTCACGCATCTCAACAGTAACTCAGTAAGCGCTAGTGGCAATTCACTGCAAAATCTAATCGAGCGTGTCGTCAGGTTAGATGTGTGGGAAATAGAATGGTCGAACACCTCGCATGGTACTTGGACAAACTTTTGTTGAAGCAAGGTATTGGTATATTACATTGATAACAAAAATAAATTGTCATCGAACAAGCTATGTGTTGTCATTTTAGAAGACGACCAGTTAAGGAGATCATTATTGGAAACTGTTAAAACCAATCAAATTCTGTGGTCATTGGGTCAAAAAGGAAATTATTTACACGAAATATTCAGATACATTAGTCTTGTTTTACACCATTGTATTCACTAAGACTGTGAATGGGTGTGTGCTTTGGCTTCGACAAAATGTCCAGTTGTTAAGAAGCATAACGTCTACGTCTTTCAAGTTCATTCTTTTCATAAAACAATACACTCTAATTGACAGTAAATTCTAATCGATTATCAACCCGTCATAGACCTTGTGTCAAAACTATTGTTTGAACTGTCTATCAATCATATATTTTAACTGTCTACTTAATCTACCATTCACCAAATCTACAAACAATCTACAAACTTTATTTTCAAATTTCGAACACTATACACTACGTGAAATTACGAAAATACAGACTGTATCATGCTGCATATTAACTTGTATTAACAGAAAATACACCAAAATATACAAGAATGTTACAATGCATTCATGTGAATATAATGTGAATACATGCTGTATTCACATGTAATTGCACTCTTTTAATACAGGTACAATACACATCCTACATTCAGTTGTATTCATGCTGAATGCAATCCTGCATTTTTCTGTATTATTGCTATATTTCATATGAATACAAGCTGATACAAGCAGTGTACTTTTCTGTATTTATGATATTGTAAATATAGTCTAATGCAAGGGACTGTATTTTTATGAATTAATGGAAAAACAGCTTAATGCAGGGAACTGTATTTTTATGAATTAATGGAAAAACAGCTTAATGCAGAGGACTGTATTTTTATGAATTAATAGAAAACAGCTTAATGCAGGGAACTGTATTTTTATGAATTAATGGAAAAACAGCTTAATGCAGGGAACTGTATTTTCATAAATTTATGGAAAACAGCTTAATGCAGGGAACTGTATTTTTATGAATTAATGGAAAAACAGCTTAATGCAGAGGACTGTATTTTTAAGAATCAATGGAAAAACAGCTTAATGCAGGAGACTGTATTTTTATGAATTAATGGAAAAACAGCTTAATGCAGGGAACTGTATTTTCATAAATTTATGGAAAACAGCTTAATGCAGAGGACTGTATTTTTATGAATTAATGGGAAAAAGCCTAATGCAGGGGAGTGTAATTTCATTAATTTATGCAATGGTTTAATATTGAAACTTTTTTTCTTATCATAAGGTCAGCATTAATACAAATACTTCAATACAGGGACTGGCACTCAATTTGTTTGAAGGTTTAAATAAAATATCACAGAATTGTTGTTACAAATATCATTATCATTATGCAGTCCTGCATGTAAGTAAGTGGTAAATTCTAATTTATGTGCTAACATCGGCCTTTGTTTGACATTTTGCAATGTCACTTAACTAATCCCATTAAAGTGGTGTTTCTCTATCCTATGGATCGGGGGTATTCTATTAAAGACAATCACAATACACAAACAACAATTAAATAAAATGAGAATAACTTGTATTGTTTATTATTTAAAAAAAAAGAATGATGAAAATAAATACAGGTAATATTTTTTTTTAAAAATACATGAAAAGCAGCCTCTCACTCCATCCCCACACAAAGTACTTATCACTGTGCCTTGAGATCAATTTGTAAATAGTTACAGGGTCAAATTAAACACAACACAACACAAAGTTTAAATTACACAGCTGGCAGAAAAATGTTTATTTGGTTTATTTCTGAGGGAAAAAACTGTTGCTCTGTGCCTTTGTTTAACAAGCCTGTCCGTAATCCCTCTATCATTGAGTCGCTGGTCCAATTTTATAACGAGTTCATTTAGCGGGACAGCCCTCCACCTTGGAGATCTGAGGAGGAGAGAACCATCCTCCTGCTCCTCCTCATCAGACATCAATTCAGGTTGTACTTCTTTCCATATGGCTCTCTCCTCCTCTCCTCCACCACTCTTCCACGTCTTTTCATTGTCTGGAAAAAAAATTGTTTCATAAGTTAACTATACATACATGTTTCAATTTGTTAATTACAATGTATATTATCAATATAAATGTTTGAAGACAATGTTGTCTGTACCATTGACTGATTTTTGGGTTTTAGATCATAATATAATTTTAACAGGGCACTGTTTGCTAAAGATACCAAAATATTGTAAATTGGCTCTATTCTATCATTAGGATACGTAAACTCCAACATGTTGAACGTTGAGAGAAAAAAAATCAAATTAGAATAATACCGTATTTTCTCTATTAGAAGCACACCTCCAATAGAAGCACATATGATGTTTTTATTTAAATGTGCATCTGGTGTTTACAGTGTTCCAGCTATCTTATCCAGTTTGTGCTTTCATGCTCCTATTCAGACTTTACGCAATTGCTCACTTTTTAAATCTCCATCTCATATCAATGTTTATAAATTTTTACCGTTAGTACAGTACGATGTATGAACTCTTATAATGATATTACTAAATTTTATCACATGATTGATATTTTCAACAGCATGGGTGATTTTAAATCGACTTTAGCTAATGCTGTTTATAACATGAAAGCAATCCAGTTATGGTTTTTGGGGAAGAATTAAAAATTCAACCGTACAGAACAAATTTGAGAAATTACCACTCTATGTATCTACACACACTAAGTGTGAATGCAATCCAGGCAATCCCGCTAACAGTTTTGAAAAACTACATTTCTTGACCTAATGTGCAGCATTACAAGTGTATCCTCTTCAAGTGAGCAAATTCCCATCTACAACTCAAAGCTGTACATGTATAGCAGTTTTTGAAAAGTGATTCATGGACAGATGTCTCAGCATTCACCACCACAAAACAATAAAAATTAGTTAACAAAAAACTCACCTGCCAACGGAGTGTGTGTGATCGCTTATTCTTTGTATTTTTTGTCTTTAATGTCATGTTTGCAGCTTCTTTCGCCCTAATCCTTTGATTTTCATAGGCTCTTCTCACAGCAACTGGAAAGGAATTGAAACAAAATTATATGCTGCTATTAAAGATAGAGTTTAATCTTTCACATATTTCTTGTGTGTTCTTTCTATGAATACTCTTGTTCAAGTGATCATCTGTGAATTCAAAACCATAGCTGTGGTGATTAGGGTGCCATTTAAATCTTGTTACACTGCATCCATATACATGCACCCCTCCCATCCCATTTGTAACGCATCCCCGGAATGGGATAATAGCAGCAAACATATAAACTTTGAAATTATCTTGATCTGAACTTGGAATATTTTTGGAAAGTATATTGGCCCATGTGCAATATGTTGAAATATAGAAGGCCTAACATTCAATTGAACAAACCTGGAAGAGAACCAGCCCTTGTATCTACATTATGAATCTCAACACAATCTATCGAAAATGTGCAACAATATGCCAAAACCTGAATACGTTGAAACTAACAAGTCAGGGTCTAGTCTATGTCAAAAACATTCATGCCATATTTTAAAAGCAATCTTACATGCGGTTGATGAAAAAATAATCTTTGATCAAAAATGATAACATTTGCTAAAAAGAGAGATTTGCAATTATTGTCATGAAATAAACTAATCTGACAGAGGACCATCTGATGTAGCATTGGTTTGAATAACAAGACAGCTGACATTTATGCAGATAAAATATTCATAAAGTAGTGCACTGCATTAAAAAAAGCACTGTAAGTTGAAATGCAATGAACTAAATATATTTTAATTATCAGGTACCCAGTAAATAATTAACCAAAATGTATACATGCAGAAACCAGTATCAAAATTTACTTACACTGGTACTCTTTCTCAGAATACTTATTCTCAAACTTCAATCGTAGCTGATCTATTATTTTTTCTCTTTTATTTATGTTATGTGCAACATTCCAGCTGTAACAAACAAAAAGACAATATGCAATTATAATAATAAAATAATGATTGACAAAAAAATAAAATTCTGTTGTTGGTGACTGATAAATTAATGGAAAAATCTTAATATGATAATTATAGTAGTACCAATAAGCTATTCTCCAAATATCAGTAGTCCAGAAAAAAATAAACTGACAAAATTGATGGAAGCGGGACATCACAAACCCCCACAAGGGAGTCAGACCAGGTGCACATGAAGCATCTGCTGCTGGCAAGCCACACCCGCCGTGATGATTTTATTCTATAAACTAGTATAACAAATACATGCTGAACATAGAACCATCACTGTTGGCCTTAAAGTTGTAATATTTCCTCTTTTCGAAAATACGTTTTACTATACTGCGTACAGTATAATGCCTGAAAACGGTCTGTTTTAAAAGACTGAGTTCTCAGCAACTTGGGGAGTCCCAAACAACATGGTTAAATGCAGACTGTTGTATTGCTGGCAACTATTCACTTTTATCACAATGTGTTTTTTGCTATGTTTTGCTAAGTTTCTTCATCTGTTTATGCTTTTAATATGCAATCAGACTCCCTAGGCCAATGCTGATAAGGTAACCCACTGTTGCATGATGGGATTTAATTTGTCCCATAATAACTTAGCAATTTTCAATGGGCAAATTATTGCTACTCTAGTTAATTTTTTTTTTATTTGGAGGACTCTGCACCTTTGAAAGACTTCGCAACATATTGCAGACTTCCGTTTTTATCACTGTCTTTGTATGGCTAACAAAAGCAGGATTACCTTTCGATCAATACATGTTATTGTTTTAAATACGTGCAAGACGAGACTGACACTTGTAAACAAAAACATAAGCATCACGGCGAGTGACCAAGCTTCAGAAGACTGGGGAAAACACTGACTGTCTCAACAAACACCGAAACAAAGGGGTTACAACTGTATTTAACTCATTTGCATAAATTGCAAGCTGAAAGCTAAGTAAAAAAATGTTGATCCTACAGTCAACAAAGAAAAAACAATTGAAAGACAATTTCACAAATATACAAAGAATGTTGTGAAAAACTTTAGATTCCTAAAAAAGCATACTGTATAGCTTTGCTTAATGATATGACTATTTTTATTTACTCACTAGAGTATTATAAAAAAGATTAATAATGAATAGATCAGTCAAACTGACTCATCAATGAAGCTTTAAAAATAAAAATAAAAAACTTTACTGGGGTTTAATTACTACATCAATCTACTCTATTCATCTATATGAACTACAGGGGAGTAGTTTTACATATGGTACAGACCATTTTTACAGATCCTTTCATCAACAGATAAAACAGGAAGCCATGCATACTTCAATAAACTTGCACTGTGAACCACCGAATGGTACAGTGTTCTCCACAATCCAAATTAGCTGGTGGGCGGCCTAATTAGCATAAATTTGCATATCAATTTGCATATCATTTACATACAGCATTCTCGCATTTATGACATGAACTGCAATACACACTAAGTTATTTACTATTCTCTTTTTAATTTAATTTAATTGGAACATGTTACAATTTTTTGAAATACAAACAGATTGGTCACTATCAATATTTACGAAATGCAA